CCCCCCTATACCCCCGCCCCCAACCCCCGTACCCCCCCCCATGCCCAAAAGTTCCTCAGCGGATTTGGGCTGTACTCAGCAAGTGCAGTACAGCCCCCAACTCAGATTTGAAAAAAAATCAGTGGATGGCTGTTTTCTGACTGGTCGTCAGACCGCCGACCGGTCGCCCGTACTGCTCGGCTGCAATACGGTCGGCTGTTTGCAGGTATGCAACCCTGTATTTGTGCATGTTGTGGCATGTTTGGCTGTTATTGGGTGCGTGGAAGACTCAAAAAGGACTCGAAAGGTTCAAGCAAGACTGAAATAAGATTGAAAAAAGAGGACTCAAAGAGAGTGCTTATGTGCATCTTCTGCAGGGGAGAACGAACTTCTTCGACAAGCTCTACAGGACAAGCCAATCTCTAGGAGAGGAGTCCGAATTCTGGCCATGGATGGGGGAGGAATGAGAGGTAGGGTATGACTTACCTCCTTGTCTCTTTGTGTGGAATGCAGTGTGGATCACCTGCTGTTTTCAGGTAGCGAGGCTCTTACTGCATGGCTCTATGCCAGCCAACCCTAGGGGTTCTGCTGCTTCCAGGCCCTGCGGAATGACCATTGCCAGTCAGCCATGGGCTTTTTGCTTATTTCAGGCCCTGCGGAGTCTGTCTATGTCAGTTGTGCCTGTAACTAGAAGAAAAAATTGCAGCATCACACAGCAGTTGTTCGACGTTAGTAAAGTCTTAGTGACTTAAATTGCCACCCTGCTGTTGCATGGTTACTTTGAAGGAGAAAAGTGGAAGTTTACCGAATGGCCCTTGTTATTCTGTGTGGGTCTCGGTCATGGTGTGGCCATTGTGGATCATAGTTCTCACATCTGGGAATAAAGCTGGAGTTCATTACAGCTATTGTTGTGCACGGGTCACTGCAATGAAAGTAAATGCTATTTTGATAGGCAGGTGGTGGTATTGCTGCTCACATCAATATAGTGACTGTCGCTGTAAGGACTTTTTGAAGCATGGAGGTGTGTTAGCGCTATAAAGAAGTAAAAAGTCTACCAGATTAACCATTTACCAGAGTCTGTTTCCAGCAAGGAGCCTCCAGTATAATTTGGAGACGGGGGAATGCAGACTTGAACATTTGACTGCGTGTGGTGGTACTTAAGGTTCTATAGGACTGCGATTGTGTCCCGTGTGGTGGTACTTCAGGTTCTATAGGACTGGGATTGTGTCCCCAGTATAACCTTTTTATCTGTGCATGACTGCAGTTGCTGGCATGTGATTGACCCTGGTGTTCCTCGGTTTGTTTTTTCTGTCGTGCAAGAGGCCAGTGGATAGAATCAAAGGTACTTGCTTTTCTGTCTGGACCAGGTAACGGTGCCGCTGTGCACTGAAATGTTTAATTCTCTTTTGGACGATTTCTTGATTTATGTGTGTCATCCTTGCGCAGGGGCCATGCTAATCTTCTCTGTATCGTTCCCATTTTAATGGATGTCCCAAAGGATGGTGCAGTGAAATGTTATTGTCTAGAGCTAGAGACGTGAGTATGCAGTACAATGCACTGTTTTGGAGAGATTAGAGAATGCTTCGAGTTATCATTGAACAGCATAGCATGTTATGTGGCTGGTTTTGTTGTTGTTGCAGGAATGGCGACAGTCCGGATGCTCCGGAGATTAGAGAAAGGGACTGGAAAGAGAATATATGAGTTATTTGATTTGATATGTGGCACCTCAACGGGAGGAATGCTGGCGGTGGCTTTGGCTGTGAAAAGATACTCACTTGATCAGTGCGAAGAGATCTACAAGTGAGTTATTCAGCTGCTGTCGAACTTGATGCACTCTGCAGAGGAGGTCGTAAATCCACATTATCATCACAAAGTCTGTTTGGCTGGACTTATGGGCTTGTGTGCATTGACGAAGTGCTTGCTTCCTCCCCCCTTAAGATATTCTCTGCGAGTCCGCCCGTGACATTTTTGCAGTCTGGACGGCTGTGCTCTCCGATTCAAAGTGGCAATTTTGGACATCAAAAATAAGCAGGGGAAGGTGTGAAACCATATTTGGTTGGCGGAGCTGTGCACTGTGCCATGTGTTTGTGCGGTGGACTACACCAAGCATTAATTAGAATTAGAAAGGTGAAAATCGGAGGGAAACACTTGGAAGCGCGCACAAATGAGTCTGGGAAATCATGGCAGCTAAATGTTGCTTGAAATAGATCTCTTCCGGATTTCCTTTTCTTATTGCTTTTACTGGTTTCGGTGTGTGTGCACCCTGTGCGTCCCACCAGTGCGAGGCAAGCAGTGTATTGCACACTTTGTGCTCATATTGTTGCGCTAAGCATTGCAGTATCGAAGTCCTCGACAATGGGTGAGGAATGGTAAACACACCAGTGAGCGCTGGTTTATGAAATAAGAGTCTGGGGACACTTTAAATAAGTAAACGCTTGCGTCCCTTGTATACCAAAACCCGCAAAGGGTTGCATGACATTTGCGCTCAGGGTTCATTCCTTTCGAGTGACCACATTCCATTCAGGCTCCATACCTTCCGACTCTTCCCGAGTGACAAAGAATCCGGAGTGCAAATGGAGCAGAGAGAACCCCAAAACTGAGGAACTCGAGTCCTGATCTGCTTCTTTTTCGTCTTCTGTGAATTGCGTGTGCTTCGTAGTGTTGGAAAATTTTGCAGCCCCATGTGACTTTGTGACCTTCAGACGTCTTTGAAACCTGGATTGAAAGCTTGAATGCATTTTGTAATGATGATCTGAGAACTGGCCCCTGACAATCTGTTAGCGCAGGCCTGCACATTCCTGCAACACTTGTTTGGGAGAGTCGGGTGGATTCTGTGTGCTCTGTGGCATTGGAATAAGTCCTGTGTGACTATGTTAATTTCTGACCTCTTTGAAACCTGGATCGAAGGCCTGAATTGCCGTTGGAATAGGAACTGGACTGATGCTCTCCAGAATTGATATGCAGCCGGGCCCATAAGGACCATTTTGGTTAAAGAAAAAGAGAAAAGGAATTACCCCCCTGGGCCCATTCAGAATTGCAGAATTTCACTCATCTGCTTCCAGTGGAGATTGAATTTGTATCTGAACAGTTCAGGGGTGTTACCAACTGAGCAGGGCCAGTTGGTGCCAATGGGCCTATCTTAGGTGGTACACCCATGAATTGTTGAAGTGCAGACCCAAGTTCAAATCCAGGCAGTCCGCTGAACAGAATATAGTATTTCTGAATTACCTGTGGCTGCTCCGCGTCCGATTCTCTTCAAGTCCATACCAATCTGTAATCCGGCAACTTTCCCATCTTTTGTGTGTCTCTTCACCACCATGTCCCCTCCTGTAGAGTCGTTGGTAAGGTAGGGTTCATCCAGTTTGGCGCATTCACTCCTATGCCGTAAAAGTTAAAAGTGTTGCATCCTTGCTTGTGTTTGAGCAGGTCATTGGGGAAAGTAGTTTTTTCAGACCCTGTGCCTAAGGATGCAGAAGCCGCGACTTGGCGTGAGAAACTCGACCAAGTCTATAAAAGTGGGGCAATGAATATCAGAGTGATTATGCATGGTTCAAAGGTAAGCTAACGTTTCAGGTGTTTCCGTTTTGTTGGCTGGCCACAATTTGTTCTCCTCCTTGAGCAATTGCCAAGTTTGGGTGAAGAGACGTATGTAGAGTGAAATTCACGAAAACTTCATTTAGAATTTTAGAATATAATTGCCATTGGTAACAGACCAAACCACAGGCAGTTAGTGTCCGACCAGAACCATTTTATCAGGAGAACCAGATTGAGATTAAAGAAAGCAAAGAGGAGGGAGGAGGAGAAGAAGAGAAGATGAAGAAGAAGAAGAAGAAGAAGAAGAAGAAGAAGACGAAGAAGCGGAAGAAGAAGAAGAAAGAAAGGCCAAAAACAAGACAAGGATAAACTAGCCCAACTTAAATGAGATATAAAGTAGGCTGAACCCCGGGCCGCTCGGCGACCTGGTCGTCCCCCGGGGGGGCCTCCTTCCCCCCAAAGGAGGTTGAGGCCAACAAACCGAAAAAAAAAGGGCCGGTAGGTCCGATTTCAGCAATTTGAAATCGGGGCCCATCTGCGCCGTTGATCTCCAGGATCGACGGCCCAGATGGGCCGCGATTTTGAATTGTTCAAAGCAGGAATCATCGGCCCTCGTCCTCTCCCCCGTGGCCTTTCCCGCCCGACGCCTCACTTTGGCCCCCGACGGGTCACTTCGACGGAGCTCCGTCATCGCCCGCCAATGCTGTCGTCGCCCCCCGATGCCCGCCGACGCCCACCATCGCGCTGCCGTTTAAGGTAAGTGGGTTAGTAGGAGAGAGAGAGAGAGAGAGAGAGAGAGAGAGATCTTCTTCTTCCTCTTCTTCTTCTTCTTCTTCTTCTTCCTCTTCCTCTTTTCCTCCTCCTCCTTCGCTTCTTCTTCTTCTTYTTYYTTCTTCTTCTTCTTCTTCTTCTTCTTCTTCTTTTTTCTTCTTCTTCTTCTTCTTCTTCTTCTTCTTCTTCTTCTTCTTCTTCTTCTTCTTCTTCTTCTTCT